AGTCTTAGGGGCGTGTTTCAGGGGATCCTGGGTTAACACCTGTGGCTTCTGCACTGGTCGGGGGAAGGTGGTGGGCCAGTGGCAGATTGGTGGACACTCCAGGTAATCAAATTGGTGCCATATGAGTCCCCTACGCCTCTTCACCCATATGCTTGTGGACTCTGGGTTCACTCAGGACCACTCTGAGGAATTCCCACATTGGCACCTGCCAATCCCACTGAGGGCCAGGATCAGACACTCTATGAGGGCATTTCCCTTCAGTCCCTGTGTGCTTTGGGCTGCTCCAGGAAATTCACATATTGGCACCTGCTGGTCGCACTGATGGCTGGGATCAAATCATGCACACACGTATTTCCCCATAGCCCCTGTGCTTTGGGCTGCTCTGGGGAAGTCCCAGGATGGTGCCTGCCAGATTCAGGTGGTAGCCAGGGGTAAGCCCCACACACATGTTGTTCTGTAGTACTCTGGGGTATTGACTTGGCAGCATCAGCCCACAGAATAATGTACCCTCCCTGTGAATGTGTGGAAGGAATGCAAACAATGGTGCTGGTTGGCTCTTCTGATACTGGATTGCCTCCAACATTTTCCTTGCCAAATGGTGGGTATTTAATTTTGAAATTTAGGTTGTTACACTATGGTCCAGTTGCACTTTAAACTGCAAGGCATTTTTTCTGCACCTCGTGGCAGGGAGTCCATGCCTAGCTCTCTCAGGGATAATTCTCCTCCTCCCTTCTCCTGGTTAATGTGCTGGAAGTAGGGTCCTCAGAGTTACCATGGCTGCCTCTCCTGCCATTTTGGGTGGTTTTCTTTTGATAGTTATTATATAAGTTTTCACTCCAGTCTCTACTCTTCAGGTTGAAATGATCTGTGTGTGGATATAGATTCAGTATGGAGAAAGTGTGGTCCAGCTCTATTCTACCCTAACATCTTCCCAGAATCCTCTTGCGATTTCTTTTTTTAATGATAAGGATTATCTACCTGAAATCAATAGTCAACATCATTATAAAAATTGTAATATTAAAGGTATTTCCATTAAATTCAGAAATAATACCGATATGCCTATCATCATGACTATGCCATATATGTTAACTATTGTGCTAAAGTTTTTGGCCAGTAAAATAGGAGAGGGAAGTGAAATATTAGTGTATATTGAAAATTATGAACTAATCCTCACTATTGGATAGGCAAAAGAAAAATGTACTTAATATATGTTAAGGAATTTTAAAACAATATGAAAAAATGAATTTGTAAAACAAAATGAAAATTTTTCTGAGAAGAGATTTGACCAAGAACCAGATAGAAAATATTTAGTTTTTAATAGTTACCAAAGATATACATACTAAAACAGTGATTTGATTAATTTTTAAAAATCAAAACAGTGAAGAGATAATCATAGCTTTGAGCTGAGAAGAACATAAGAAAATGCAGATTCTCAGGTATTGCTGGTGGTACTGAAAATAAGCTTAGTTTTTCTTGAAGGAATTGGCCATATCTATCAAAATCTTTAAAAATATTTATACACTTTCATTATATAATTCTAGTACATAATTTTCTTAAGGAAATACTCAAACACATCCACAACACAAACAAAAAATTTGGATAAGCAAAATGTTTCTGTGGTAGCTGCAGAATGGCTAAGTATGTTATTTTATGAATAATATGAGAAATAATACAATAAAATTATAATAATGTTTAATGATATAGGACTGTGTAATAATATGGGATATATATGTATTTGCCTATTCCCAATTTTGAGAAAAAGGAAAATATACACATACACCATTGTGGAACAAATTGTCTCATTTAAACATTTTGCCATTATTTAACAGTTGAGTTATCAGTGATTTCCAGTTTCTACTTCATTCATTTCATAAAGAGGAGAGTGTTATTTTTATTAAATATACAGCTATGCTAATATTTTACCTCAGTTCAGTTGAGTAGTTATTTAGTCTGTGGAATAAAATTTACTTTGTTCATAAATTTTATTTATATCAAAAAGTTAAACTCATTAATTAAAAAAATATTTCCAGCTTTAATTTATTTGTCCCAGTATGGAACAGGTTTTTCTGTGTGAGTTGAAACATTTTTTTTCTTTAGTTTTACAGGCAGTACACTCTTCACAGAGTCCTAATATGCATAAATTTCTGTTACTATAGTCAAGTAACACCACTCCTCCAACCACATGATTCAAATATTAGTTACAATGCGCTATCAACTCTAAGTAACTGAATAAAATACAAATTTTGCTGCTGGCTCTTTAGTACACAAATTACTACATAAATAACAGATACACATCCTGATCAGTGACCAACTATGTCTCTTCTTTCAAAGTCTGTGGTGATTGGTCAGGGTACATCCATTCAGTTCATTCACAATGGTTCCTATTGTTGTGTTGCTTTATTGTCTGTCAGTGATAAATCCCTGTGACATTTTACAAACATGGATATATATAGACAGGAAAATTTCCCAACATTGATAGTGCTTCAGAAAGAGAAAGTACTGGAAGTGAAATCCCATTGAATATTTCTTCTTTTGGAAGACATAGTTAATCAGTCACCATTTGAAACACTTTATGTATGTAGCCAGAGCAATTTAATGAAGGTGAACTTAACAAAAATGAGAACAGTAGTTGTGAAGACATCCTAGAGCAAGTGATATCAACAAAAACTACATTAAAGTGATTCTCAGAGATATTTCACAACACAAAAAGGACAAATATTTAAATATGGAAGCTGATCCATACTTAGAAAGAAGTATGACAATTCACCAAGCATGGAAAAGATGCTTGTTTAGTATGAAAAGTTATAGGATTAAAAAGCAAGCACTGTTCAAATCATTCAATTAGATTTTTACAAAAAAATAAAACAAGTCTAAAAAATTCTGATGTTAATTTACAGTGAAAAAAAGTTTTCCTAATTTTTAAAAATTTCCTTCACTTTAATAATGGAAAATAATGACATTTTTTAAAGTTTACCTTCACTTACTCCTTCTTTGATGTTCTCCCTTTATTTATGAATATCAGAGTTTCTGATCTGTATTATTTTTCTTCTCCCTAAAGAACTTAATTTAACATGTCTTGCTAATCATGACAACAAAGTCTACTGGCAACAAATTTCCTCAATTTTTGTTTGCCTGAGAAACTATTTCTCCTTCACATTTATATGATAATTTCACAGGGTACAGAATTCTAGGTTGGTGTTTTTTTCTCTCAATACATTAGGTATTTCTTGCTTGCATGGGTGAAGACAAGTTGGATCTAATTCTTATTTTTGTTCTTCTGTAGGTTCCTTTTTTTTTCTATTTTCTTTTTTACCTCTGGCTTCTTTTAGGATTTCTTATCTTTGATTTTCTGTAGTTTGAAAATGATATGCCTAGGTGTAGTTTCTGGACACTTATCCTGCTTGGTGTTTTCTGAGATTCCTGGATCTGTGGTTTGGTGTCTAACACTAAACTGGAGAAATTGGTCATTACTGTTACAGATATTTCTTCTTTCTTTCTTTCTTTCTTCTTCTGGTATTTTTCAGTATGTACCAGTCTTATACCTTTTGTAGTTGTCCCACAGTCTTTGAGTTTTCTGTTTTGTTTTTTCAGTCTTTGTTCTGTTTGCTTTGCAGTTTCTGAGGGTTCTATTGATTCATAATTCTTTCCTCAGTTGTGTCCAGTCTGCTTTTAAGTCCATCAAAGGCATTTTCCATTTCTGTTACACCGTTTTTGATCTCTAGCATTTATTTTTGGTTCTTTCTCAGGATTTCCATTTCTCTGTTTACATTGCCTGTCTGTCCTTGTATGCATTAGAGCCCTTAGTATATTAATCATATTTATTTTAAATTTCTGGTCTCATAATTCCAATATTCCTGCCACATCTTGTTCTGATGCTTGCTCTTTCTTTTCAAATTTGCTTTTTGTCCTTTGGTACGTCTTATAATTTTATCTTGAATGGCCAGATATAATGTGCCAGGTGAAAGGAGATGTTGTAAACAAGCCTTTAGTGATACAGTGGTGAGGAGTGGGGATGGAGGGTTATGTGTTCTATAGTCTGTGATTAGGTCCCAGGCTTTTAGTTAGCCTATGCCTCTGGACTATGAGGTTCACAAGCATCTCTCAATGAACCCCATCCTCTTAGGTGGGACAGGGTGGGCTGGAATTGGGGTTGGGTATTTCCCTTCCCCAGTCCATTAGGTTCTGATAATAACCCATCAGGTTATGCTCTGGTTAATGAATTTCTCCTGAGGGCAGGCCTTAAGAAAAATAAAGTGCTCTGATTTATTTCAAAATGGCTTCTTTTCCCTCCCTGTTCCAGAAGCACCAAGAGATTTTGCCCTGGTATTTTCTGTGAGAACCTGTTCAAGGTCCTGGAAGCAAATCTCACAAAATGGTGGGGGCCACCTTATAATTAGGTTCCCCTGGAGTTTTCAACTCTTCCATGTGTTCGTATTGAACTTCTAGTTCAGGTTTCGCTGTTTTTTGTTTCCCACCCTGGCATTGATTCCCATGGAGGCTTCTGCTGGTGAGTCTTTGCTCCTATAACTGAAACTCCCAGTATTTGCCAGTCTCTCTCTCCACTCTTAAGGACAGCTGTTTCCCTGTTTCTTCACCTAAGGAACCCAGGAAGAGTTGTTGATTTTTCAGTCTGTCCATCTTTTTACCTGTTGTTAAGATGGAGGGGTGACTCCAAGCTCTCTACTTATGGAAGCAGAAACCATAAGTTAAGTGTTTAATGTTTCAACAACAACAAAAAAAATGAAACATCATGGAAAAATTACGATTCTTGCCATTGGTTATTAAAGTCAGCTTGCATGGTCACTTTCACAATTCTGCATTACCATGCCTATAAGATGCTCATTTCTGATTTATAAAATATTTGTTCAAAATACAATGAAAATAAATTGCTGGATTTTAAGTCTTTGATATTGACTTTGCATCTATTGAGTGTGCTTGATATATAAGTAAAAAAGGAAAAATCACAGCTTTATTGTTCTTACATTACTTTATTGTTCTAGTGTGATCGCTGCTTGCCTCTTTATAATGACAAGCCTTTCCGCCAAGGTGATCAAGTTCATGCTTTCAATTGTAAACCTTGTCGATGCAACAGCCATTCCAGAAGCTGCCACTACAACATCTCAGTGGACCCATTTCCATTTGAGCACCACAGAGGGGGTGGAGGAGTTTGTGACGACTGTGACCATAACACTACAGGTAACTAGCGAGTAACACAAATAATGTAAGTGACATGAGTTGACTTGGCATTTGAGGCCCAATGCATATTACATTTTAAATTATGTTATTGGTATCTTATGTAAGAAAGTACTTTCATACTGTTAAGTTTGAAAACCAGAGCTGGTTTATTAAATGTTCATAATTCCATTAATTAAGTAGTTCTCAGAAATAGCCACTCTAGTTTTAGATTTTAGACTATATCTTTTCAGGAAAAGTTATATTTAAGTTCACATCACTTGATTAAACTATGAATGTATTTTGGATAACTCAGGAATTATTAGTTTGAGTGTGTGTGTGTATGTGTGTGTGTGTGTGTGTGTGTGTGTATATATATGTCTTTAGAATAACTTTCCTTATATGACTTAATCTTCCATTGTGTCTAGATTCTCATGGAAAGATGTTTCGATTCATTCATGTTTGGTATGGACCCTTTTAATTTGGGAATATTCTTTTTAAAAATGCTAAATAAATGCAGAAGATGATTATCAAAGTCTTGTTCTAAAATGAAAGTCACCATTTTCAGAAGGGCTGGTATATTAAAAGCAGAAATAGGCAATATCTAAATTTATAAAATATAATGGCTCAAGGTCTGATAGGTTTGAAAGTATGCCACCGTGAGGCACGAATGCATTTCTTTGATAATTATTGATGACCTAAAATGTCAGAAGAACTTGGGTAGGTGCTGGGAATATAATGGTGAACAAGGTAATGAATTGTTGTGTCTTTCTATGGATTATTATATATGGGGAAAGGTACATTATTAAAGGAACAATTACAAACTTTTGTCTAACAAATGCTTAGATGTACAGTAGGAGTAATCAGTTGAAAGGATGAGAGGGAGGGGAAATCGGGGTTGGACAAAGGTTTGCAGTAAGAGAAACAGTTGTGCAATGGCCTGGAGGACAGAGAAACATGGCACCCTTGAAGAATGATAGAAGGGCAAATGGCTGATTGTATGGAAAAGTTCTAGGAAGGAAGGCAGAGGCCACATCATAGAGGACTCTGTAAACCATGACAGAGTTTGGATTCTCCCCTACAATTAATGAAATGCCATTTATGGATTTTATGCAGGAAAGGCACATCATACATTTTGTATTTTTAAAAGCCCCCAATGGTTATAAAGGGGAGAACGGATTGAAGACGGTCAAAAGTGGTTTAGGAAAACCAGTTAGTAGGATACCGCAATAATCCAGGGGAGAAATAGTGCTGGAGTACATTTAAGGTGGCAGAATAGAAGAGAATCCAAGAGATATTGAGTGTGGAAAGTAATAGCAGTTTCGGAGCAAGGTAGAGCTATAGGGGAAGGGAGAAGACTCAAGACTCATGCCGAACGCTCCAGTTCGAACAACAGGGTCAGTTGCTGGTGCCGGCCTCTGAGATAGGAAACACAAGGGGACCAGGCTTAGGGAGAACATGGCAAGTTCTGTTCTGGACATGCTCACTGTGTGCTTCCCAGAGACAGGAGAAAACTCCTGTGTGCAGCTGGAAATACGGTTCTGAAATGCCTTTCCTAAGGAAAGCCTTTTGTGATGCCTCAGAAAAGATCAGTATTATCTACATACTTGAGTGGCACCTTATGCTTACCGAAGGATGTAAATGAATATTGACTTCTATAAGTATTTAAGTAGAATTCATCGTACCCACTAGATAGTGAGAAAGCTCTGAGAAGGGGGTGATGTGTATTTTGCTCACTACTATGACTCTAAGTAAGCTCTGTGAAAGGAGTGAAATGTGTATTTTGCTCACTACTGTATTCCTCAGCGCTTAGCACAGAGTTGGAACATGGAAATCACTCAATAAATATTCATTGAATGATAAATAAAGGGAGATTTCTACATGGAACATATAAATTTGGAAGTCATCAGCATACGTAAATGGAAATATTCTAGAAATATTATAAATCCATTTAATTTTTAATTAACCCATAACCAATGTACATCAGAATATGAGTTTTTCACTTGGTAATTTCCATTGTCTTCTAATATTGGTCCAACTTTAGCAATATTTGAGCAAAGTGCATAATATTTGAAGGAAGAATTGGTAGCTTTGATTTTTATTTTGGCTCCTTTCAAATGTGTAAGCATATTATAATATTTAATATGAAGTTTATTGGATATATCTAAATATAATTTCAATTTTGAGATTTGAAGTGAAAAATAATGGCTGTAAACACTAACAGAACAATTTGCTTTTAAAAATGTCAGCAGTAGAATAATAAATTATGTTAAAAGCAGTCTCCTATTTCACAAGACTTAATTCTTGAAAACTATTTCTGATATTATATAACTACTTGCTTCCAATTATATAAGTATATCTTCCAACTGTATAACTGTATCTAACACACATTTAGACATTTTTCATATTTGATTTAGGTGAAGTGCCTGGTCCTAGAAATAAAGAAAAGTTGTAAGTTTAGAAACAAACTCTGACAAAATGTATGGGCCCCTATAAAGCACAGCTTTTTAGAAGTGAGATATTATATAGCAGATGGGAGTTTAATGAAGTAAAGCCCAGTTTGTAACAGGTTCATTGTTTCATATGCTCTGGATCACTAAATTGGCAGGTAGAGATGAAAGGTGCATTAAAATGGACGTCCCGAAAATTATAGAATTCCCTCAAAGGAATACAGTCTTTAATTTTGAATTATGCGGCTCATTTTAATGAATTGGAAGTCATAATGCATAACCTTTCCCTGATGCAGGAAGGAACTGTGAGCTGTGTAAGGATTACTTTTTCCGACAAGTTGGTGCAGATCCTTCAGCCAAAGATGTTTGCAAACCCTGTGATTGTGATAAAGTCGGCACTAGAAACAGTGGCCTCCTTTGTGATGAGGTGAGTTCTCCTTATTGAAGGTAAAGAGTTGCTTTCTTTCAGAAACTAATTTGCGAAATGTTCTACCAGTGACATTGAGGACTGTATTTATCAGAAAGCCCTCTGTCCGTGCTTGTATATCAAAGAAATGGCGGCTTTAGTAGTGTTCCTGTGCAACTTTTATTATCAACATAAAACATAAGGCTGTCTGGGTGGTCCTTTTCATATAAGAAAGGCTCATTTTACTTTTAATTTTACAATTGTCAAAAAAAAAAGGGAAACAAGGGGCTCCAAGTACACTAGGAAGTAAATTAAGTATATGTCTTGAAGTTTTTTGGTGAGTTAATATTAATAAATGATATTAATTAAACAAGAACAGTTTTCATCCCAAATTCCATAGAAGATAGTATAGCAAAGGTCACTTAAACATATATATGAATGGAAATTATAAAAGCTCTAATTCAGAATTTCTTATTCCAGCCATCTATCTTAGCAATACTATGGATTTTTATGATTTTATATATTTTTATTATCAATATCACAAATATTGGTGTCTGACCTCCATGAACATGGATTCTAAGTAACTTGAGTCTATATATATCCTACTTTAAGTCAGAAAAACCAGCTCCATAGATAAGTATGATGTCTTCAACTGGAGATTTTATCGGTTCTGATAATACTAACACATGAAAATAGATAAAGAGCAAATATGCTTTGAATAATCAATTCAATGATTATGTTAATTTTTAATAATTACATATTCTCTAGTGAATGAGAATGCAGTGGCTAGGATCATAAGCCGCAGTCCAGTTAAAGAAAAAAAAATTAAAGTTACAGGAGGAAGATAAGTTCAAATCAAAATATATTTATCACATAACTTTCAGCATGTATTAAAATTTGCTTTAACAAATAAAAGCCAAATATAAAGTATGCCTAAATAAGGATTTAAAGACCATCAGAATAACCATAATGTGTTAATAAAAGAGCTTTATGTGCTTTATTGGAAAGGTGGAGATTAGAAAAATAATTAACAAAGGCAAATTTCTACTGTTTCTAATTTTTGATAAAGGAACTATTTTCTAAAAAAGTCGTATTACAATTTTACACATTTTGATTAGTAGAATGTGTCTTTATACATCTCATATTTACACATCTACCCTGAATTTGATGTCTTTTGCTTGATATTCAAGTTTCAACTTAAAGATTTGATATGTCTTTTGAGATAAGTTCACTGAGCACCCAATTATAAAACGTTCTCAAATCATTGTCCCCATATTATATATTACATATTCTGTATTACCCCATATTGTTTTCATTATGGTTTTTATGAAACTAATTACTGTGTTTATTTTTTGTGTTCTCTGTGTCCAACATAAACAGAATAGTTTCAATTATATAAAAAACACTCAATAAATATTTATTCAACAAACGAGTGATTGAAAAGGGATTCTGTTTGAATACTAATTTCATAATCAGATGGTCATTTGAATGGCTATTATAATAATATGACCATTATGTAAAAGTTTTTCTCCCTGAACTTCTAAGGTCAAATAAACTTTGGTACATAGTATTGAAAAACTGAACTAAAAGTGCTAGCTCCCAAACTCTCACTTATATGTCATAACCCATATGAATTAAAGTACAGCAGATTTGTCCCTGATTTCTACCAAAAACAAAAAATAAAAAACAACTTCTAGAACTATTGAATTCAACAAAGTTGCATGATATAAGATCAACATACAAAGTTAATTGTAGCTCTCTCTATATGCTAGAAATGGACATGTAGGACCAAAAATAATGCAATATTGTAAAGTACAATACAGTAAGTCAGACAGAGAAAGACAAAGGCTATAGGATTTCACCTATATGTGAAATCTAGGAAACAAACGAACAAACCAAAACTAGAAACAAATCTATAAACACAGAGAACAAACTGGTGTCTGCTAGAGTGGTTGGCTGGATGAAATAGGTGAAGGAGACTGAAAAGCGCAAACTTCCACTACACAAGAAAGAAGTCATGAGGATGAAATTTTTTGTCTAACAAAAAAAATGACGATCCTATTTACAATTGCTCAAAATGTGCAGGATTTATATGTTAAAAGCCACAAAATGCTGAGAGAAGAAAGCAAAGAATATCCGAGTAAATGGAATGCTGTTTTGCATTCATGGTTTGGAAGATTCAACACATAAAGATGTTAATTCTCCCCTAGAAGTATTATTGAAGCTATTATAGAAAATGTGTATCGTTATCCCAGAAATGTTTTTTGTAGCTATAGACATGATGATACAAAACTTATATGGAAATATTATATTTCAAAAGATTAAAAAATAGTATTTCATAAATATCGGAAAATATAATGTTAATATTTTAAATATTTAAGTATTTGTATATTTTAAAACTACTAAATTTTGAATAAAGTAACAATATAGAATTTTTATATATATTTTAGAATAGCTAAAATTTTGAATAACTAAAATAATTTCTATCCACCAGAATAAAGGAGGTATCACTCAACCTGATTTCAAGGTTTACTATACAGCTATACTAAATACAATTTTGTAGTACTGAGAAAGAATATACAAATAGATCAATATAAGAGAATAAAGAAATCACATATAGCCCATACAAGTATGAATAACCAATTTTTGGCAAAGTGATAAAAGCAATTTATTGGAAGAAAGCTATTCTGTTCAACAAATGACCATCTAGGACTTGCTAATCCATATAAATTAATGAAAAATGAACTATATATTTAGTTATAAAATGTAAACAAAACTTTAAAAATTTAACAAATGAAAAAATCTTCTGCACATAAGGCTTTTTAAAGAGTTCTTAGACATAATACCAAACACATAATCCATAAAAGAAAAATATTGATTAATTACTTTATCAACATTAAAAGCTTTGTTCTATACAGAACCTCTTTTAAGAGAATGAAAAGACAAGTGACAGATTAGAGAAAGTATTTACAAACCACATATATATAAAAAAAACCAAGAATATATGATGAAGTCAACATTCAGAAAATAACAAAGAAAAAGTATTATCTAAGTAGAAAATGGCCAAACATACAAAGAAACATACCACTTAACAGGATACACAGATGGCAAAATAAGTCCACGAAAAGATATTCAGCATCTGCCATGAAGGACATGTAAATTAAGAGTACTATTCCAAATCACAATATAGCTATTAGAACAACTAAAAAAAATAGAGACAATACCAAATGTTGATGAGAATAAAGAGAAACTGGATCACGTGTTGTCAATAGGAACAAAGCATGTCAAAGCCACTCAGAAAAATAGTTCGGGAATTTTTAGCAAACAAAATATAGATTTATCAGACAATCTAGCAATTGTACTCTGGGCATTTAATCCAGAGAAATGAAAATTTATGTCTGTAAATCCTGTACATAAATTAATGGCTGCTTTATTTATAATAACCCCAAATAGGAAATAGCTAAGCTGTTTCTCAATGGGTGGAAAGTTAAAAAAACTGTGATACACCAGTACCACAGAATATTCTTCAGAAGTACAAAGAAAAGGTCCATGGACACACACAACTTAGACAGACCTCAAGGATGTTGGTGTGAGTGGAAAAAAAAGTCAGCCTGTAAAAGCCGTATCCTGTATAATTGTCAAAACAACAAAATGAGAGGGATAGAGATCAGATTAGTGGTTGCCAGAAGTCAAGGGTGGTGAAGGAAAGGAGGTGGTCGTGAGTTTAAGTGAATATCACAGGGCAGATCTTTGTGGCGATGGAGCAATTCTGTATCTTGATTGTGATGGTGGTTACACAAATGTACATATGTGAGAAAACAGTACAGAACCAGACAAATGCATCATACAAATGTTTAATTAATTGCTTTGATAGTGTACTGTAATTATGTAAAGTAATCATTGGTAAAAACTGGGTGAAGAGTACAAGAGATTCCCCTGTACTATTTTTATAACATCTTATACATTTGTATTAAAAAAATAAAACATTATACATATGTATACATATATGTGCCTGTATATATATATATATATATATATATATATATTTATATATATATTTATTAGAAAGAGATAGATGAAATGAGATAAGAATCATATTGATATCATCCAGAACTAATGTTGCTTAAAGTCAATGGAGAATTACCTTAAAAATTTCAAGGGTAGATATTTTGAACAAAACTTTGATACCCGCTTTTAATGAAACTATCACTCCAATATGAGGTTAAGACTTCTTTTTGCATGGATAGATGGTCAGAATATTACCACTCATCAACTCCATAGTAAAATATTTAATATAGAAAATGAAGAAGCAATATAAGACAGAGGGCAACATTAAACACAAGAAATGACAGATAATTATGATCCAAAGAATTAAATATAAGTAAAATATATTTTAAAAGAATCCATTGGTCTTCGTGGTCTTGAAGGATATTTTCCTTAGGTAGGCGTTTGACAATTGCATTTTATTATTTTAAGATCAAGACATGATTTTTTTTGTTTTAAAATATTATTTATGACCTTAATGCTGCCAATTTTGTTTATATTTGTTATAAAGTTTAACTCAAACACAAAGAATAAAAGACAGAATACAATAAAATAAAAATACTATAAATTGAGTTTCTATAGATGAATGGATAGATATAAACTTGGAGGTGATGAATAAAAAGAATAATAGAAGAAAGTTAAAATGCATTATTGCCTCTGTCTTTCAAGTAGAAAGCCAATAGATATTACTAAATTTGTTATTTAGAGTTATAAAAACAACCAGTCAACAGTGAAAAATAATAACTGAAAATTTCAGTGAGAAACTGGATGCTTTTCCCTATGGTCAGGAACAAGACAACAATTACCCCATTACCACTTCTATTCAACATTGTACTGTAGGTTTTAACCAGGGAAATGAAATAAATGTCATCCAGATTGAAAAGGAAGAAGTGAAACTATCTTGATTCGTCTATGACAAGATCTTTGGATAAAAACAATCCAAGGAATACATGAAAAACTACCAGAACTAACAAAGG